GCCGATAACAATTAACGCTGTCACGGCACTCAACAAGTCTTCTGTCGTGGTACTGAAGACGCTCCGCTCCTGCGAAGAAAAATGTCTGTTACTCTCTGCGGTAAGACAGTGATTGGTAACCTGAGTTTCTGCAGCGAGGATATTATGATGATGCTTAAAGTGATTACGTCACCGTAAATAGTAAACGTAAAAAAAAAAATTCCCACTTTTCACAAAATGTAAGTAATTCTGTCACTTTTTTATGGTTAAATTGCTGCATCATGCTTTCTATTTTACTATTGTTCGATGTAAACATACACTCGTGACCCATACATAGCCATAGCAAGCAATTATGTCAGGATCAAAATATCAAATTGTCCAGGTTTTTTGGATTTTTAACTATTGAGAAACAATTTATCAGGTAAGAATTTGACAATACATTTAGTCCCGTTAGTACTTACTTACTTTTAATTAAAGAAATTTAACACAAAATTTTACAAATATACACCATAGAAAATCGTGACGTAGTAATTTAAGGCCACCGCACACTGCACACTAGAGCAATATAGCTCAGCAGTCAGACTCGCGAGCAATATTGCTCTAGCGTGCGGTCGCGTTTTACTGCGTCAAACGACTCGCGAGTCCGATTGCTCACACATCAAACATGTTAGCTTAGCAATATGCTCTAGTTGTGCGGAGGGGGGGGGGGGCTTTAAAAGACACATTCGCAGCCATAACAATCACACCCATTGTTCTACCATTTTCTTGGCCATAAGTTGATCAGTCGGGTCGCAATGATATATGAATAATAAAATACTGTTTGTTTGCCCTCACGCCAATTCGACCCGCCAAAAGGGGCGACTCAAATTTTTTATTGATCTATCTCTTTTTCTTTTTCTTTTAACAAATTGTATCACTGTACATTATATAAATCTGTAGGTGGTACATTATATGTACCAAGCAAAACAAACATTCAACATAAACGCTATCTCCACACACAGCACACCGAGCATGTAGACACCATGCTGAATTTGTAAAAAGACCCCCCTCGAAACAAAACAAAAGCCGACCCTACCTACCAAATTTCCAGCCTGGGTCGGGTGAGGCAAACAAATGTTTTTTTAATTGTGGCCTAGACTGCCTGAAGTGAACTTGTGAAGTGTTTCGCAGTTACCATCGGCATTTTCCGGATTACTTTTGTCAGTCATAAGAAATCATTACACCAGGTCACTCAAAATGTGGCATCTCAGACGATCTACATAATTCATACGTATATAGTTGGTTAATTGATGCATATAATTACCAAGCATCTAATATCTTGAGCGGACGAAGGCAGCTGTTTGCAGAACGGCATCAATGTATAGTCAGTTGCAGACTGAGTTCTGTGTTATGTGTAATGTTGTAATCTAATATTCTGAAACGTATTTTGTGCAATGTGTTGTGAATTCTAAATAATTCTTGAGTTCCGTGTTTTGTGCAATGTGTTGTGAATTCTAAATAATTCTTGAGTTCCGTGTTTTGTGCAATGTTGTGAATTCTAAATAATTCTTGAATTCCGTGTTTTGTGTTGTAACATCACACAGCTTCAAGAAGGTGGTGATGGGATACGCACAACGATACGATGCAACCAGTGCCGCGAAGGCTTTCTCACTGCCGGAGCCCCTCGTTCTCAGCTGGTTGACTCAGGAACTCAACCACACGCTGGGAGACGACCTGCCTGAAGGTGAGCATGGGGAGTGTGGAGGTGGGAAGCGGTGTCGTGTGTGTGTGTGTGTGCGTGTATGCGTGTGTGCGTGTGTGTGTGTGTGTGTGTGTGTGTGTGTGTGTGTGTGTGTGTGCATGTGCGTGTGTTTGTGTGTGTGCGTGCGTGCGTGCGTGCGTGCGTGCGTGCGTGCTGGCTCCCTCGCCTGGTCGCTTGGCTCCCTCGCCTGGTCGCTTCGCGCCCGAGCAGGGGCGTGTACAGGGGGGGTCCAGGGAGTCCGGACCCCCCCTTGCTCGCGCAGAAAACGCATCTGAGGGGGTGTAATGTTAAAAATTTTCTGGGGGGGCCCCCCAGACCCCCCCTTCGCGTGCTCGTAACTATGGGTTACGGTTAGATCCCCCTGGTACAAATCCTGTACACGCCCCTGCCGAGCAAATTGCCAACATTGAAAAACGAACCCCCCCCCCAATATAAAGCTGGCTACGGGCCTGGCTTGCGAGTCGTGTTCCCCGCACAAGTAAGTACTAACGGGACTAAATGTATCGTCAAATTCTTACCTCCAAAAATCCAAAAAACCTACTAAAAACTAAAAAACTAGTTGATGATATGATCCTGACATTAATTGCTTGCTATGGGCTATGTATGTGTCACGAGTGTATGTTTACATCGAACACTAGACATGCAGAGTGCACTCACGGAGTGCATACCCCCCCGCCAACGCAACATCGATTGATGGACAACATGTACACGAAAACACGAACACACGAACACACGAACAAACAAAAAAATACATCAAAATATTCAATAATTTACCCCATGCATTTTTCTTGCAGCCGTTGCCTCTTCATGTATTCGGCATTGTCTTTCCTTCTCTGTGCTGCAGCCTCTGGGGATTTCTCGGCACGGACCTTTCGCATCCTGTCTCTCGCAGAGGCACGCAATTTCTCAGTTTGATCTTCACTTTCTTGGAGCCGTTGCTGCTTCATGTATTCAGCATTGTTTCTCCTTCTCTGTGCTGCAGCCTCTTGAGATTCTTGGAGCCGTTGCCTCTTCATGTATTCAGCATTGTTTCTCGTACTCTGTGATGCAGCGTCTGGAGATTTCTCGGCACGGACCCTTCGCATCCTGTCTCTCGCATAGGAACGCAATTTCTCAGTGCGATCTTCACTTTCTTGCAGCCGTTGCCTCTTCATGTTTTCAGCATTGTTTTTCCTAAATAGGGGACACGTGTTACTGAACATTCGATTCGTCAGAAATTGTATTTTCTTGTAAAAATTTGTAATTGAACTAATGAAATAAATAATTTTTTTATGACAATACAACTATTTATTTATTTATCATGCAGAACCGTAACTGAGCAATTGTATTTGGTTTTATTTCATGCGTCTTCGACATGTTGACTTCTTGACCCTTTAATGTGTGTACCTACTATATACATATGCGTGTGTGGACACAATGGCATTCAGCAGCACACGTATGCAGTGTGAAGATATGGGCGCGGCAATGCTACACGTAGTGTATGAAGATATTAGCGCGGCAATAGGGGCGTGTACAGGATTTGTACAAGGGGGGGGGGGTCTAACCGTAACCCAAACTTGCGAGCTCGCAAATGGGGGGTCTGGGGTCGCTCACCCTGGACCCCCCCCTGTACATGCCCCTGGGCATTGCTACACGTAGTGTGTGAATTGTGTGGGCGCGGCATGCATCAAACGTGACGCTGTGAAGACACTTCGCCAAAACGGCTGAAAACGGCTCAAAAATCAACTTGCGTTTGATGTAATTTGATACTTTTTCACCATTACCTCCCTTAAGGTAGTGGCAATGACCACCTGAAAGCGAAAACATAACCGAGAGCGAAAACATAAGCTCCTCTCCATCTTCGTTGGGCAGAGGTAATAATAATATTCATAATTTTCTTACAACAGTGTAGTGTTGTCTATTGTGTGGATGGCAGGTAGTATTTCTTTGGATAAGGGATTATTAATCTACTGTAGCTCTGATAGAAGTCAAGACATCGCTTAAGCAATCGATGATTGCTTAAATGCTTATAGTATAACATATTAGTAATAGTATAACATAATAGCAATACTAAAGTAACTATAGTACTAAAGTAACTATAGTACTAAAGTAACACTATAGTAGAACATTATCTATATTATGACATTACTGATAACATTAATGCACGTACCAATCCAGCCTTACACTTATCTATGAGTCACTTAGCTAGGCAGAGTGCACTGACGGAGTGCATAACTCCGCCAACGACATACACCATACGCCATACGACTCACGAACACACGAATAACCCACGATATATGCCAGCGTACTGACATGTACACGCTCCCATGTAACATGTATGCGTTACGAGCTGGCTTGCTGACTCGCTGGCTCGCTGGGTGATATCGATCAACCGCCAACAACATACGCCATATGCCTCTACGCGCTAATATGGATCGCGCGAACACACGAACACACTAACACACGAACACACTAACACACGAGAGCGAAAACATAACCTCCTCCAACTCTGTTGGGCGGAGGTAAATATAGTAAAATAGGAAGTATAATGCATCCATTTAACCATAAAAAGTGAACAGAATTACTTGCATTTTGAGAAAAAGTGGGAATTTTTTTTTTTACTTTTTAGTGTTTACGGTGACGTAATCACTTTAAGCATCATCATAATATCCTCTCTGCAGAAACTCAGGTTACCAATCACTGTCTTACCGCAGAGAGTAACAGACATCTTTCTTCGCAGGACAGGGCATCTTCAGTACCATGACAGAAGACTTGTTGAGTGCTGTGCCTGCGTTAATAGTTTTCTGCAAGCAATCCAACGGGGTGAGGCTATTGCTCGGCATATTTGTACGTCCAGTCTGTGAATAATCAACGATCAAAGGCCACACATTATTGATAAATTTGCCTTGCAATAAACTTGTCTAGCAATGTCTACATGAAATGATTTCTTCAGACATTAGTTACTGGTGTAAACATCTCTAAAATTGATTGCAAATGGTATTGGTAACTTGTTATACATATGTATCTGTTCACTTTGCTCTCAACTTGGTTACAAACTATCCCACTGTCTAACTAATTTCTTTAATTTAAAATGATTTTATTTATAATAGTAATTTAGTTACTTTTTTTCTAATCGTAAGGTAGAACTACTCACAACAGCGGTCCCTACTGGGCTTGGGTTCAGCGACAACATCAAGGGGGGTTGCGGACCCACAGGGTTAACAATCTGCAATCGAATAACCAGCAAAGATGTTGGCAGTAGTCAATGACCAAAGATTATGCGCAGCGAACTAAAATCTCTCGCAGGTGAAATGGATTCGGAAATGGAAAAGTTGCAATTCCGCTGACATACTTGGTTAGACCCGCGAAAGCGCACGAAGCTCATTGACCATGTCTTAAACTTAATCTAAATCTAATCTTTTGAAATTAGTGAGTATCGAATCGAGGCATTTCGCTGGTCCTCGTGGAAAATCACGCGAGCGAGCGAACCCAGCGAGGAATGGCGCCCTCTTGCAGGCAGTCCCGTGGCGCCCTCTTGCAGCCAGCCCCGTGGCGCCCTCTTGCAGGCAGCCCCGTGGCGCCCTCTTGCAGGCAGCCCCGTGGCGCCCTCTTGCAGCCAGCCCCGTGGCGTCCTCCTGCAGGCAGCCCCGTGGCGCCCTCTCACCTGTATGTGTTGGTTGGCGGTGGCTGCGGGTAGGAGCGTCTGCTGCTGCTGCAGGAGCGTCGGCTGCTGCAGGCTGGCGATGAACACAGGCAACGCCTGCATCTGCTGCACGTTCTCCGCTAGCGCCCTCTGCTGCCACAGCTCCGGTGGCGCCACCTGCTGCTGCTGGTTCTCGGTGATGGCGTTCAGCGCCTCCTGGTACTGCTTGTCGGCGGCAGCGTTCGCGGCGCATTGAGCCTCCGTCAGCTCCTCCTCCTCACACTCCATGTGGAGGTCCACGTCGTGCATGAGCAGTGGCGCCCTCTTCAGCTGCGGGGGCGCCACCGTCTTCATATATAACGGCCCGCTGCGTGTGGCGAGCAGCGAGCGCGACAGTGTCGCCACCTGGAGGACCGTCGGCTGGCCAGCAGGTGGCGCCGGCGCGATCGTCGCCACGGACGTTGTCGAATAGAGCTAGAGTAGAGCTAAACCAACCAGGCTCTCCGACTGTTACACGGCGTAGGAACCTCTCGCCTCTCGCCAACGTAGTGACTAGTAACAGTGTTAAGCGAGAAGGGAACTTGTGGCTAGAGTAGAGCTAGACTCGAGTCACGAATAACGGCATCAACATGAAAGTCTTATGCAGATAAAACTGTGTAAAACTAAACACAAAGTTACTAATACTAGTTAGCATATTAAAACATTTTGATAATACCCACACTTCAGCTAAGATATACGGTAGCCCGACCAGGCTGTGCGACGGATTGTCTATACACGGTCTTCTAAACCTAGCAAGACCGTTTCTTGGAGCTAAGATATACGGGTGTTTGCCATTCTCGTCAAATCGTTCACATCTTTATCACAACTTTCATCGCCGCCGCCATGTTTGGGCTGAACTGAGTGAACTCTCGCATTATCTCGTGCAGCCTCATTATCTCGAGATAACTTATCTCGGGACTTATATCGAGACTTATCGCCTCGAGACGCCTCCCGCCAACTTACAGTTACACTATTCCAGAGCATAAATATATAATATATGCTCTGACTATTCATTCGGTCTCTGGAAACTATGGAAGCCCTGAAACGAAATACGACTTTGAGTTTTCGAGTTTCTGAATTTCGTATCGTATAATCGGTATATAGTAGGCCCTACTAGAGAGAGTAGGCCTCTAGAGATGACAGAGCCGTAGCCTGCGGGGGGGGAGGGCAAGGGGGGCAGCTGCCCCCCTCCCTAGATACTATAGAGAAAAAAAAAAAAAAAAATTGTTCTACTAAAAGAGAATTGTCGTAGTCAGAATGAAGATTGTACATGTACTCAAAAGTGCCTCAAATACCATCTCATGCGATCTACATTTTCAACATTTTATCTGGGAGGAACTATCATTCCAAAGTTTACATGTTATCTGATATTTGAAAGCTCAGAACAAAACTGTGTGAAATGTCAAGCTGATAATTAATTGAAATCTTCAATATAACAGTATGGTTGTGAACAGTGTGTGAACACAAAAACGTATCAGCTAAAATGCATTTAATCCATTTTTTACCGTTGTCCAACAAGATAACCTCAATATCTGTGCTGCCACCTGGTGCCTGCTTAGACTGGGAATGTAATTCTTCTGACAACGTCCACTGTTTTGGGGTTACTCGAAGAGGGTGGCGGTTCCAGTCTTTTACCAATACTCGGCTGTATGCTGGACTCACTCAGCACAGAGGGAAAGTTTTCACCCTGGTTTTCCTTACCCCCCTCACAGCTGCCTGAACAGTAGGCCACACCGTAGCAAACTGAAAGCTTCACGTGGCGCGTTGGCAGCAGAATTCGACGGACGCGGAGAAGGCTCCTGCGTCAGTTCAATCGACGCACTCTCGCTGATAACAACTCGACCGCCGGCGATTCGTCGAGGCGTGCCGTAGACAGTGGTGTCGATCACAGAGTTGATTCGCTGGCTTGCAACGAGACTCGATGCACGATCCGCAGTGTTCGGCCGCAACGCTGCCGGCACGTATTCGACGAGCGGCCGAGGTTGTGCAGCAGTGATGAGATCGCTCGAGGTCTGTCTGGGCTGGATGCGAACCACGTGAATCAGTTTCCTCGTCAGCAGAAGGGAACGCCCGGCGTCGGGCTGCGTCGAATTCTGACCGTCGGTCACCGCGGGACGGCCCGGGTCGCACGAGGTCACTCCGATTGCTTATCCTTGCAGTTTTTTCGAGGTGCCAACAAATGGATTCGTGTTCTGCGAGTATATTTTCCCGTTGAAATTGAGTACTCCCTCGATTTTAGGTCACAAAATGAAATGATAATAGCCTGCGCCCACGGCCTATAAAGGACTAGCTGGGCTACCCGGCGATGCCCAAGATAAAGGTGAAAAGAGCTAGAATTTAGTCTGCCATGACGGCTGTACTGATGTTATTCGAATTTTATAAATCTGTCCCAAGAATTTCACTTCTGTTCAGTTCTGCAGCGCTTCTTGGTACACAACATTCTTGATCTTGCCATCTTGAGAGAGGATGTAGAGGTTGTCTGGGTTACCCACCCTGGAGCACCCCACATAGAGCTGGCCATGGGAGAACACTGGCTGTCTGGTGGGTTGCGGCATCACTTCTTTGACCGAGTTGGCGCCGTTCTGGACTCTCCTCTGCACGGGGCGTCTGGTGGGTTGCGGCATCACTTCTTTGACAGAGTTGGTGCCGTTCTCTATGCTTTTTTGCACGTGACCTCTGATGGGTTGCGGCATTACTTCTTTGACGGAGTTGGCGCCGTTCTGGACTCTCCTTTGCACGTGACCTCTGGTGGGCTGCGGCATCACTTCTTTGACGAAGTTCGCGCTGTTCGGCATTCTCTGCAGAGCGTGCTCTTTGACGGGCCAGTTTGTTTGCCCTTGCAGTTGAACTGCCGAATGACGATCGCTTCCGTTTCGGCATTCTATACGATTGCCTCAGTGAGTCCTGCCAAATAAATTTAATTTAGATCCGTGTCCGTGATCAGTGAACCATGTACATGTATTCATATGTCAGTTATATAGAGAGGCGCGCCATAAGTGGCGAGCAGCGAGCGCGACAGTGTCGCCACCTGGAGGACCGTCGGCTGGCCAGCAGGTGGCGCCGGCGCGATCGTCGCCACGGACGTTGTCGATTTCCGCTGAGGCAGCAGGCGCTTTTTTATCAGATTTTTGGCTGTACAATCCTGCGAATCAACCGATATAGTATATATATATATATAGGATGATATTTGGCACTACTACCGACACAAGAGCAAAGAAATGTTACTATCTCACAATATTACTCTTTACGAGAGCTATGAACATTAATCACAAAATGCCAGCGATTTCATACCAGTTATTAATTTAACTACAGCAATTCCCACAGCAGTATTCACTTTAACTTTCAAACGTTCTCTCTCTTCTGTCACTCTTATGTCAACTGAAACGTCGCTTAAACTTTTGTTCATTAACTTTTTATTAATGCATGAAGCCTTCTATTTATATATCAGCTGAAAAAAAGCTCTCTAATCAGGCTAGGATCGAAACTACAGAAGTTTGCTAAAGTTTCAACTCTATTCAATGAGATTCACTTTGTTAGCTTGACTAACAGCAGCCATGATATAGGAATATCATACCAGCCACGTCGCCAGGCAGACTCATCACCGAACACTCAGGCTTCAACATTATTTCCGGATTATTTTTTTCAAAATTATTGAATTAAACAGTTACAATGTATTTTAAATGTGTTTCAAATCTTAAAATTTAATTTTAAAACTCGCCAGCGTACACGATTTTCAATGCAGCATTTCAAAGATTTTCGGGGGATGCCCCCTCGACCCCCTCCCCCTCACACACACTCCCCCTCTACGGCACTTTGCGCTTTCATGACTGGGCTAGAACATTAGTCAATCCCTGGCGACGGCCCTGCATACCCTCTTTGCAGGAGTCCACTCGTCCTCCGATGTCTCGGAATCACTACCGGATGAAAGATCATTTATCAGCCGTTTCTTGTGGGGACTTTTCCGTGACATATTTTCGGTGATGTCTAGGCTGTTACCAGCTACAGCTGCTTTTTCATGGATAACCTCCGGATTGTCTGAATCTGCAAAAATCAGCGAAGAAACCTAAAATGTGCTACACATTGGATCTTCACCCCGCAAGCTGTACTACTGTCTCACTATAACTGCTACTACTTCTGTTCTGTTTTGTTACTCACTGTTACTGCTACAGAGCTAATGTACAAAAGAATAATACACTTAGCATGAGAAAAGTTTACATGATATTCGAAAGTCCAGAAAAAAACTGTTAGGCCGTGGGCCCATTAGGCAAAATATGCCTAGAAAATGATTTCTGTGACCTTATTCGAGGGAGTACCCAATTTTTTTTATATAACGTAGCTGAATTCAAAAGGACTTGTTGGCACTTGCTCATTTGCATTCTTTTTTTTGCGTACAGCTGTTTGAATCTCGGTGTTCAAAAACGAGAATTTTAAGCATTTTAGTCAACTTCCATTCCATCAATTTTGGTAAACATTTCCTTGTATTGAACATGCCTGTATGCAAATACACATTGCTTGGAATTTTCTCGAGGCAGGACAATAAAATAATCGCCACATCTGTGTCTGGCCTCCACACTACAACATGTTCATACTGATGTTGTGCAGCATGTCTAGCATGTAGTGCCAGACGAGAGTCAGCTTCTTCGTGATCCCAGCGCAATCGAAGATGCATCGGTGACAATAGTTTGGCCATCACCATCAGCAACACATATCACATCTGTGTTGTCACACAATCTCACATTTGTCACACAAGTCATCACGAGTGTGTGACAAACAGGTGGATGTCTGTTAAAAAAGTTGGGCTCATCTGGCACCAGGTGCCAAACAAGAAATGAATGAGACCAGTTTTATTGAGTTCCACTATCAGGGAAGTTTGTCCACTGCGCTGGAATCTTCTGCTCGGGACTGTATATTTGACGGATTCTGCTACGGTGTACCTTCTAGAATGTTCGATTTCTTGGATACCGAACATTACCGGATACCTATCACATATACCATATCTATGCGACTGTAGTGATGTTGGCGACTTATATGAGGAATCCGTTGCAGGACAAATGTTGCTAGTGCTCCAAATGTAGAAGGTAGACTTGATGGTAGGCTATGGAGTACTGCCATGAAATCAATGATCAAGGTGGAATTGCATTGAATGGCAGAGACAGTGAAATCTGTACACAGTCCTTCCATGTGGTTCAGCAGAGTGGCTTGATTAGTCGTGGCGATAGACCTATTTGTGTTGGCGAGAGGATGAGAGACTGGACCCAGAGAATGAGAATGATCCCGTTGTTCTCAGATCCATGTTCCGGTTTCTGCTGTGAACAACGAGTCTCGCGAAAAGTTATCTGTCGCTTTTTCAGAATCACTTCTTTTACCCTTCTTCAAAGTTTCGGTATTCAGCAAAACCCGAGAATGTCTGTAATTTCGAGTTTCGAAATGCTTTAGTAGAGTTCAGCTTTGTCACTTTGAAGACGATCTCTGATGAATGACAATATAGTGTAGCTTCACCTCTACTATGGGTCTCCATTATATCCTTAGCAACATCTTTACTTGTCACCACTCAAGAACTAATACTAACGAGTTCAACAGTGTCATCACAGAAATGATTGGCCATCTGATCAATGCAATGGATGTTTCTAGATATTCATTTCTTTTACGAGCAGACAGATCTAAGGCCACCCTTAAAAAATGTTTCACCCGAGCTCTACAGGTAGTTGATACGACTTCAGAAGGTACGACTTAAGAGTAAGACAGGGATCTATCCTTGCTTGTGGGGGTTTGAATCCTTTATCTTCATCATAACCACCAGAAGGGACTCTGACACTTGGATTGGCTCTTTTTGACCGTACAGAAATGCGTTTTTTGGCTCGTTCCACACTGTTTTTGTTAGTAAATCTTGAATAGCATGTACGATGATAACCGTGCGTCGAGTTAACATCACTGAACTGGATAAACAGAATTCACAACACATTGCACAAAACACGGAACTCAAGAATTATTTAGAATTCACAACACATTGCACAAAACACGTTTCAAGAATTATTAGAATTCAAAACATTACACAAAACACGGAACTCAGTCTGCAACTGACTATACATTGATGCCGTTCTGCAAACAGCTGCCTTCGTCCGCTCAAGATATTAGATGCTTGGTAATTAATATGCATCATTTAACCAACTAAAATACGTATGAATTATGTAGAACGTCTGAGATGCCAACATTTTTGAGTGACCTGGTGTAATGATTTCTTATGACTGACAAAAGTAATCCTGGAAAATGCCGATGGTAACTGCGAAACACTTTCACAAGTTCACTTCAGGCAGTCTAGGCCACAATTAAAAAAACATTTGTTTGCCCTCACCCGACCCAGGCTGGAAAGTTTGGGTAGGTAGGTCGGCTTTTGTTTTGTTTCGAGGGGGGTCTTTTTACAAATTCAGCATGGTGTCTACATGCTCAGGTGTGCTTGTGTGGAGATACCTTTTATGTTGAATGTTTGTTTTGCTTGGTACATATAATGTACCACCTACAGATTTATATAATGTACAGTGATACAATTTGTTAAAAGAAAAAGAAAAAAGAGATAGATCAATAAAAAATTTTGAGTCGCCCCCTTTTTGGCGGGTCGATTGGGTGAGGGCAAACAAACAGTATTTTTATTATTCATATATCATTGCGACCCGACTGATCAACTTATGGCAAGAAAAATGGTAAGAACAATGGTGTTGATTGTTATGGCTGCGAATGTGTCTTTTAAAGCCCCCCCCCCCTCCGCACACTAGAGCAATATTGCTAAGCTAACATGTTTGATGTGTGAGCAATCGGACTCGCGAGTCGTTTGACGCAGTAAAACGCGACCGCACGCTAGAGCAATATTGCTCGCGAGTCTGACTGCTGAGCTATATTGCTCTAGTGTGCCAGTGTGCGGTGGCCTTAAATTAACTACGTCACGAATTTTCTATGGTGTATATTTGTAAAATTTTTGTTAAATTTCTTTACATTAAAAGTAAGTAAGTACTAACGGGACTAAATGTATCGTCAAATTCTTACCTGATAAGATTGTTTCTCAACTAGTTAAAAATCCAAAAAACCTGGACAATTTGATATTTTGATCCTGACATTAATTGCTTGCTATGGGCTATGTATGAGTCACGAGTGTATGTTTACATCGAACAATATAGTAAAATAGAAAGCATGATGCAGCAATTTAACCATAAAAAAGTGAACAGAATTACTTACATTTTGTGGAAAAGTGGGAATTTTTTTTTTTTACGTTTTAACTATTTACGGTGACGTAATCACTTTAAGCATCATCATAATATCCTCGCTGCAGAAACTCAGGTTACCAATCACTGTCTTACCGCAGAGAGTAACAGACATTTTTCTTCGCAGGACGGGACGTCTTCAGTACCACGACAGAAGACTTGTTGAGTGCCGTGACTGCGTTAATTGTTTTCTGCAAGCAATGCAACGGGGTGAGGATATTGCTCGGCACATTTGTATGTCCAGTTTGTGAATAATCAACGATCAAAGGCCACAAATTATTAATAAATTTGCCTTGCAATAAACTTGTCTAGCAATGTCTACATGAAATGATTTCTTCAGACATTAGTTACTGGTGTAAACATCTCTAAAATTGATTGCAAATGGTATTGGTAACTTGTTATACATATGTATCTGTTCACTTTGCTCTCAACTTGGTTACAAACTATTCCACTGTCTAACTAATTTCTTTAATTTAAAATAATTTTATTTATAATAGTAATTTAGTTTACACCGTGTAACGTTTTTCTAATCGTAAGGGAGAACTACTCACAACGGCGGTCCCTACTGGGCTTTGGTTCAGCGACAACACCAAGGGCGGTTGCGGATCCACAGGGTTAACAATCTGCAATCGAACAACCAGCAAAGATGTTGGCAGTAGTCAATGACCAAAGATTATGCGCAGCAAACTAAAATCTCTCGCAGGTGAAATGGATTCGGAAATGGAAAAGTTACAATTCCGCTGACATACTTGGTTAGACCCGCGAAAGCGCACGAAGCTCATTGACCATGTCTTAAACTTAATCTAAATCTAATCTTTTGAAATTAGTGAGTATCGAATCGAGGCATTTCGCTGGCCCTTGTGTAAAATCACGCGAGCGAGCAAACCCAGCGAGGAATGGCTCCCTCTTGCGGGCAGCCCCGTGGCGCCCTCTTGCGGGCAGCCACGTGGCGCCCTCTTGCAGGCAGCCCCGTGGCGCCCTCTTGCAGGCAGCCCCGTGGTGCCCTCTTGCAGCCAGCCCCGTGGCGCCCTCTCGCAGCCAGCCCCGTGGCGCCCTCCTGCAGGCAGCCCCGTGGCGCCCTCTCACCTGTATGTGTTGGTTGGCGGTGGCTGCGGGTAGGAGCGTCTGCTGCTGCTGCAGGAGCGTCGGCTGCTGCAGGCTGGCGATGAGCACAGGCAAGGCCTGCGTCTGCTGCACGTTCTCCGCTAGCGCCCTCTGCTGCTGCGGCGGAGCCGCGAACATCGGCGTCAGGCGCGGCAGCCTCACCGGTGCCGCCACCTGCTGCTGCTGGTTCTCGGTGATGGCTTTCAGCGCTTCCTGGTACTGCTTGTCGGCGGCAGCGTTCGCGGCGCATTGAGCGTCCGTCAGCTCCTCCTCCTCACACTCCATGTGGAGGTCCACGTCGTGCATGAGCGGTGGCACCCTCTTCAGCTGCGGGGGCGCCACCGTCTTCATGTAGAACGGCCCGCCGCGCGTGGCGAGCAGCGAGCGTGACAGTGTCCCCACCTGGAGGACGGTCGGCTGGCCAGCAGATGGCGCCGGCGCGATCGTTGCCACGGACGTTGTCGACTTACGCTGAGGCAGCAGGCGCTTTTTTATCAGATTGGGTCTACAATCCTGCGAATCAACCGATATATATATATATATATATAGGATGATATTTGGCACTACTACCGACACAAGAGCAAAGAAATGTTACTATCTCACAATATTACTCTTTACGAGAGCTATGAACATTAATCACAAAATGCCAGCGATTTTATGCCAGTTATTAATTTAACTACAGCAATTCCCACAGCAATATTCACTTTAACTTTTAAACGTTCTCTCTCTGAAACGTCGCTTAAACGTCAAAAACGTTCGTTCATTAACTTTTTATTAATGCATGAAGCCTTCTATTTATATATCAGCTGAAAAAAGCTCTCTAATCAAGCTAGGATAGAAACTACAGAAGTTTGCTAAAGTTTCAACTCTATTCAATGAGAGATTCACTTTGTTAGCTTGACTAACAGCAACCATGATATAGGAATATCATACCAGCCACATCGCCAGGCAGACTCATCACCGGACGCTCGGGCTTCAACATTATTTCCGATTTTTGTTTCAAAAATTATAGCATTAAACAGTTACAATGTACTTTTTGCTGTGTTTCAAATCTTAAAATTTCATTTTAAATCTCGCCAGCGTACACGATTTTCAATGCAGCATTTCAAACATTTTCGGGGGAGGCCCCCTCGACCCCCTCCCCCTCACACACTCTCCTTCTCTACGACACTGCGCTTTCATGACTCGGCTAGAACATTAAGTTAGTCACACCCTGGTGACGGCCCTGCATACCCTCTTTGCAGGAGTCCACTCGTCCTCCGATGTACCGGAATCGCTACCGGATGAAAGGTCATTTATCGGCCGTTTCTTGTGGGGACTTTTCCGCGGCATATTTTCGGTGATGTCTAGGCTGTTACCAGCTACAGCTGCTTTTTCATGGATAACCTCCGGATTGTCTGAATCTGCAAAAATCAGCGAAGAAACCTAAAATGTGCTACACACTTGATCTTCACCACGCAAGCTGTACTACTGTCTCACTATAACTGCTACTACTTCTGTTCTGTTTTGTTACTCACTGTTACTGCTACAGAGCTAATGTACAAACTTGTGTAAAGGATTAATACACCTAGCATGAGAAAAGTTTACATGTTACCTAATATTTGAAAGTCCAGAACAAAACTGTTAGGCCGTAGAATATGCCTAGAAAATGATTTCTGTGACCTTATTCGAGGGAGTACCCAATTTATTTTATATAATGTAGCTGAATTCAAAATGACTTGTTGGCACTTGCTCATTTGCATTCTTTTTTTTGTGTACAGCTGTTTGAATCTCGGTGTTAGGGTGAAAAAACGAGAATTTTAAGCATTTTAGTCAACTTCGCGTAACCACCATTCCATCAATTTTGGTAAACATTTCCTTGTATTGGACATGCCTGTATGCAAATACACATTGCTTGGAATTTTCTCAAGGCAGGACAATAAAATAATCGCCACATCTGTGTCTGGCCTCCACACTACAACATGTTCATACTGATGTTGTGCAGCATGTCTAGCATGTAGTGCCAGACGAGAGTCAGCTTCTTCGTGATCCCAGCGCAATCGAAGATGCTTCGGTGACAATAGTTTGGCCATCACCATCAGCAACACATATCACATCTGTGTTGTCACACAATCTCACATTTGTCACACAAGGCATCACGAGTGTGTGACAAACAGGTGGATGTCTGTTAAAAGAGTTGGGCTCATCTGGCTCCAGGTGCCAAACAAGAAATGAATGAGACCAGTTTTATTGAGTTCCACTAGCAAGGAAGTTTGTCCACTGCGCTGGAATCTTCTGCTCGGGACTGTATATTTGACAGATTCTGCTACGGTGTACCTTCTAGAATGTTCGGTTTCTTGGATACCGAACATTACCGGATACCTATCACATACCACATCTATGTGACTGTAGTGATGTTGCTAGTGCTCCAAATGTAGAAGGTAGACTTGATGGTAGGCTGTGGAGTACTGCCATGAAATCAATGATCAGGGTGGAATTGCATTGAATGGCAGAGACAGTGAAATCTGTACACAGTCCTTCCATGTGGTTCAGCAGAGTGGCTTGATTAGTCTTGGCGATAGACCCTTTTGTGTTGGCGAGGATGAGAGACTGGACACAGAGAATGAGAATGATCCCGTTGTTCTCAGATCCATGTTCTGGTTTCTGCTGTGAACAACGAGTCTCGCGAAAAGTTCTCTGTAGCTTTTTCAGAATCACTTCTTTTACCCTTCTTCCAAGTTTCGATATTCAGCAAAACCCGAGAATGTCTGTAATTTCGAGTTTCGAAATGCTTTAGTAGAGTTCAGCTTTGTCACTTTGAAGACGATCTCTGATGAATGACAATAGTGTAGCTTCACCTCTACTACAGGTCTCCATTATATCCTTAGCAACATCTTTACTTGTCACCACTCAAGAACTAATACTAACGAGTTCAACAGTGTCATCACGAAAATGATTGGCCATCTGATCAATGCAATGGATGTTTCTAGATATTCATTTCTTTTACGAGCAGATAGATCTAAGGCCACCCTTAAAAATGTTTTTGTTTCCTCTTTACCTACTCGCCTCTCAGGGTACCGAGTAGGTAGGTAGGTGAAAAATCTTTTTTATTTTGTTTTGACAAGATGTGTGTATGTATATTGTATATTCTGTTTTGTGTATATGTTTTTGCGGAACAAATTTGATTTTTTTTTGGCTAAATGAAATAATTTTTGTTTTGTTTTAATAGGCCAATAAAATGTGTCGAGTAGCGGCGTTTTGGCGAGTCGGTCGGTAAAGGGGAAACAAGCAATATTTTATCTTAGACCCAAGTCTTTCCTTGACCTGAGCTCGTCATGATATTTAACCATGGTTTCGCATTGACGAGCAATACCGTTTAATTTTGATGTCAGTGAAATTAATTCTCTGAACTAATTTTTGGTTTTTGTAACGAAAAATTGACGTTTTAAAAATTGATTGAAGAAATATTTTCCAATACTCACCAGCATCTACTGTCTCAGCTTGAACAAGCTTATCATTCTGCCGAGCAGAACGCTTCTTTGAAAACACAGTTTCGCTTTTGCACATAATGCACAAATGTTTCACCCGAGCTCTACAGGTAGTTGACACGACTTCTGAAGGTCTAAGAGTAAGACAGGGATCTATCTTTGCTTGTGGGGGGTTGAATCCTTTATCTTCATCACAACCACCAGAAGGGACCCCGACACTTGGATTGGCTCTTTTCGACAGTACAGAAATGCGTTTTTTGGCTCGTTCCACACTGTTTTTGTTAGTAAATCGTGAATAGCATATACGATGATAACCGTGCCTCGAGTTAACATCACTGAACTGGATAAACCACAGGTCGCGATTTTATCTGCCACTCGTTTTCCTCCCCATCAAGGTCTATCCATGCTAGTGCACACTCGCAAACCGTCGCCCAGCTTTTCTCAGAAAAAGGAGCAACATTGGAGCGGTCTTTCCGGTAAAGATGAATTAAACAGAACTTTTTACGAGAACGTTGCTTAAACATCGCAGCCATTACGTCGATTGTAGTAGAAGCAGGAGAGGACGAGCGGCGAATCTGATTGGTCGAGACAACTCACGCTGTTACTTGATTGGTCAAAACAATTCACAATTTTACTAGATTCAGAGGCATAGTTTAGCTATCCTTGCAGTTTTTTTGAGGTGCCAACAAATGGATTCGTGTTCTGCGAGTATATTTTTCCGTTGAAATTGAGTACTCCCTCGATTTTAGGTCACAAAATTAAATGATAATCGCCTGCGCCCACGGCCTATAAAGGACTAGCTGGGCTACCCGGCGATGCCCAGGATAAAGAAGAAAAGAGCTAGAATTTAGTCTGCCATGATGGCTGTACTGATGTTATTACTGAATTTTAAAATCTTGTCCCGGAAGGAATTTCAATCTTCCTGTTCAGTTCTGCAGCGCTTCTTGGTACACAACATTCATTGTCTTTGCCACTTGAGAGAGGATGTATGAGGGTTGTCTGGTTACCCACCTGGAGCACCCCACATGAGAGCTGGCCATGGAGAGACATGGCTTGTCTGGTGTATGCGGCATCACTTCTTTCACCGTGTTGCGCGGTTTGGACTCCTGCCTCTGCCGGGACGTCGTGTGCGGCATCACTTTCTTTGACAGAGTTGGCGCAGTTCTCTAACGCTTTTTTGCACGTGACCTCTGTGGGCTGGCGGCATCAACTTCTTTAACGTGAGTTGGCGCGTTCTGGACTCTCTTTGCACGTGGGACCTCTTGTGGTGGATAGCGGCAGTTTACTTCTTTGGCGAGGTTGGCGGCTTTCGGCCATTCTCTGCAACGGCTTGAGCGGCCAGTTTCTTTCCCTGCAGTTGCAATCCCGTCTCGAAGTGACTATCGCTCCGTCGCATCTGCTATACGAGCCTCAGTGAGTCTGGCCTGAATAATTTAATGTTGAGATTCCGTGTCCGGTGATCAGTGAAGCCTATTATTTCTATATTCATGTAACTAGACGAGAGGCGCGCCCAGTAGAACATGTAGCATGGTTACTGATGTCCACGGAACGGATGACTGAACATCCGGTTCATTATGTGATATATACTTGCTATCTGTATTTCATCAGATAACAGATAGCAACGTATTATGACATACATTATTCACATACGGAGGTTAAATCCTCCTTATATGCCGGAGTGTGGCGACTATAGTCTAGCGCTAGGATTTCCTTTTTACTTTTCTGCTGCGCTAGGCATTTCGCTTTACTTTTGCTGGTCTGTCAGTGTATAGTGGATGCGCTAGATTCCACTTTACTTTTCTGCTGCGCTAGATTCCCTCTTTACTTTTCTGCTGGCGCTAGATTCCTCTTATTACTTTTCTGCGTGCATGTATTAGTTGGAGCGCGTAAGATTCTTCCTTGAGGCTAGTTTCTGCGCGGCCTGGCTCAGATTCCCTTTGACGTTTTCTGTCTGCAGTGCGCTAACTATTTTTACGATTCCGACCATATGAAATTTGAGCGTATCCATTTCGTACTTTCGGGATGATCCATTCCTTTCGTGGCGCGGGTTTGAAATTAAATGGTTGTTTGGGTGCAATGATTTTCAGCCAAAAAGTGGCCGTAAAAATAATATTTACCTACAAAAAAAAATGGCAAAAAGAAGGGAAACTCTTTTTTCTCTCTTAATTCCTTTTATAGGCATGTCTTTTTGGCCTTAAAATGTTCATGGCGTCATGTCCGGATTCAACGAGATATATCTGGGCTGTTACGGGTCACCTCTCTACAGACACAGAATAAAGCCAGACGGAATCCGCCCATTATGTGTAGGAGATTAGTATCCTTATCATTCCAAAGTTTACCATGTTATGTCTGATATTTGAAAGCTCAGAATAAATAACTGTTGAAATGTCAAAGCTGATAATTTTAATTGAAATCTTCAATGTAAGCAGTTAGTGGTTGTGAACAGTGTGTGAACACGAAAAACGCTAATCAGCTATAAATGCATTTAATCCATTTTTTAAACCGGTTGTCCAACAAGATAACCTCAATATTCTGTGCTTGCCAGCCTGGTGCCTGGCTTAGAGCTGGAATGTAATGGGTCTGGGTGGAAGGACTGGATTGCCATCAGCAACGTCCACGTGCTTTTGAGGTTACTGACTCGAAGGAGGGTTGCCGTTGCCAGTCTTTTACTCAATATCTCGGCCTGTAGTCTTGGATTCTCATCTCTCAGCATCTAGAGGGAAAGCTTTTCCACCTTTGGTTTCCTTCACCGTCCAGTCCTCATACATGCCTGCGTTGACACCATGCTAGGTCCACACTCTTGTAGCAATAACTTGTATATATCTTGCACATCTGTGGCACGCCTCTGGCATCAGGATTCTGCAACGGACCGCTGATTAAGTGCTCTCTTGCGTCAGTTTCACATTCGGACGCCGCAGCCTCTCTCGCTGACTAACGAATCGATTGCCGGTGATTCGTCTGAGGAGCTGGGGGGCCCGGTTAGACAGTGTTCGATCACAGAGTTGCTGGTCGCTTGGCTTGCCTAACGAGACTCGGATGCAGCGAATCCCGGCAGTGTTCGGGTGGGCCGCAACGCTGCCGGCACGTATTCACGAGCGGAGCCAGGCGCTGTGCGAGCGGCGGGGAGCGGAGACTCGCTTGGGGCGTGCAGTCCCTGGCTGGATGTCGAACGCCACGTGAATAGCATTTTCCTCGTCAGCAAGTAAGGGAACGCCCCGCGTCGTGCTGCGTCGAATTCTGACGCGTCGTCCAGCGGGGGACGGCGCCGGGTCGTCACGAGGTCACTGGTTCCGATTGCTTATCCTTGCAGTTTTCTCGAGGGTCTGCCAAACAAAGTGGATTCGTGTTCTTGCGAGTATTTTTCCCCCGGTGAATATTGAGTACGGTCCCTCGATCTTGTAGGTCACACCAAAATTGATATGATAATACTGCCCAACGGCCTATAAAGTGAATGAGGCTGGCTAGACCCGGCGATGCCCAAGATAAAGGTGAAAAGAGCTAGATATTTAGTCCTGGCCATTGACGGCCTGACTGAGTGCTTTTATGTCGGATTTATAAATGGCCTGTCCCAACGAATTTCACTTCTGTTCAGTTCTGCAGCGCTTCTTGGTAACAGCACATTTCTTGATCCTTTGCCATCTTGAAGAGGATGTAGAGGTTGTCTGGGTTACCCCACGCCTGCGAGCAACCCACATAGACTGGCCATTGAGAACAGCTGCTTACATGGTGGGCCTTGCGGCATCACTTGTTATTGACCGGGGGGTTAGGCGCCGTCTGGACTCTCCTCTGCACAGGGCTCCTGGTGGGTTGCGGCATCAACTCACTTTCTTTGACGAGTTGGTGCCGTTCTCTTGCTTTTAATTTTATATGACCGATTGCCTGGCAGTTACTCTTTGCGGAGTTGGCGCCGTTCTGCTCATCGCTAACGTGCACGTGACCAATCTGGTGGGGCCTGGGCATACTTCTTTGCGGAGTTTCGCGGCTGTCCGAGACATCATTAATTCCTCTGCAGACGTCTACTTTGACAACAACACAAACACTGGCCAGTTTGGATTTGCCCGCTTGAGCCACGTTTGAACCTGCGCGAAAGCCCGTCGCATCCGTTTCGGCTATTCTCACTAACGCATTGCCCTAGTGAATCGCTGCCAAATAAATTTAAATTTAGATCCGTGTCACCGTGATCAGTGAAACCGATCGTACATGTTATATATGTTCAGTTATTATAGAGACGGCACACACCATAAAACTATGTACAATGTTATGATCACGGACCCGATGCACACTGGAACATCGTTAATTGGTATGTGATAGATACGTGGCTGATTTCTGTATATCATCAATCACAGATAGCACGTATTACTCACATAATCCATAAAACGCCTATAGGCCGAACGTTGTCGACTATAGTCGAGCGTAGGATTTCCTCTTATACTTTTCTGCTGGGCCGCTACTGATTCCTCTTGACTTAATTAACCTGCTGCGCTAAGATTTCGCTCTTTACTTTTCTGCTTGCGCTAGGCATTCCTCTTTACTTTTGCTGTCTGCAGTGCGAGCCTACTTATTTTTTACGTCCGCACTATGAAATTGGAGATTCGATGTCCGTACTTTGCGGATGATCAGTCATTTCGGTTGGAAAAAATAAATGTTTTTGGTCAAATTTTCAGCCAAAAAGTGGCCAAAAATAATATTTACCACAAAAAAAGTGGAGTTGAAAAAAAAGGAAAATCTCTTTTTCTCCCTTATTTTCCCCTTTTTTTGGCCTAAAATGGTCGTGGCGTCATGCCAATTCAGAATATATATGTTGGAGTCACCTCTCACAGACAGACGGATCCGGCCATTTATGTAGGGAGATTAGTATACCTATCATTCCAAAGTTTACATGTTATTGATATTTGAAAGCTCAGAACAAAACTGTGTGAAATGTCAAGCTGTATAATTAATTGAAATCTTCAATATAACAGTATGGGTTGTGAACAATGAGTGTGAAACCAGAAAACGTAATCAGCACTAAAATGGCATTAATCCCATTTTTTATTCCGTTGTCCAACAAGATAACCGTCAATATCTGTTGCTGCCACCCTGGTGCCTGCTTAAGACTGGGAATTTAATTCTTCTGACAGCTCAACGTCCCACATGTCTTGGGTTTACTGCGAGAGGGCGGTGCGGTTCCAGTCTTTACACAATAGCTCCGGGTGTAATGCTAGACTACTCAGCACAAGCGGGAAAGTTTTTCACCCTGGTTTTTCCTTACCTCCCCTCAGCTGCCTTGAACAGTAGCACACCCACCTGCGGGTACCGTAGCCAAACTGAATAGCTTCTACGGTGACGCGTTTGCTACAGGAATTCCACGAGGCACAGCGGAGAAGCCTCCTGCTCAGTTCAATCGACGCACCTCCTCCGTGATAATCAACCCGTCGGATTGCGGCGGATTCGTCGAGGCGGTGCCCGTAGACAGGTGCGTGTCGGACCGACTAGAGTTGATTCTCTGCCAGTGCGTTGCAACGAGACTCATCTTCACGAGTCCGTCAGTTGTTGTCGGCCCATGCGCCTCTGCTAACGCTGCCGGCACACGTATTCAGCGAGCGGGCGATGGCCGGCGGGGCCCGAGGCTGGGTGTGCGATGGCAGTGAGTGAGGATGCGCCTGGTCGGGCGTCCTGTCTGGGCTTCGGGGATCGAGACGGCAGTGGCAGTGATATTCAGTCTTCGCCGGTCGTGCGAGTCAAGAGGTGAGGGGGGAACGGGCGCCCGCCGTTCGGCCTCGCGTCGAATCTAGAGACTGTCGTCACCGGGCGCGGGACGGCCGGTCGCTACGAGGTCGAGCGTGCCGAGTTGCGTTCTATGCCGCGCGCAGTCTGGCTAAGCAATGTCGGTTGCGCGCGATGATAATGCGGACTACATTACGGGTTGGGGCTGCTGCGGCCTGCGGACTGGGCGGCTGTAGGATGTTAGGGGTAGGGGTAGCAGCCGGACCCGAAGGGCCGGAGAGAGAGTATGAGGGTGAATGCGGGTGGGAGGCCGACCAGCGGAGGCGGGGATGCACGGGGGTGCTTGGTACGGTTTGGGTCGTGGGCGGGGGGGGGCTTGGGTCGTGAGCGGGGGGGCTTGGGTCGTGTGTGGTGCGGCTTGGGTGCGCGGTGGGACAGCACACCTCTGTAGCTGGTAGCAATCGTAGAGCTGTGACGCGAGAACACTGTCGTTCCGTATCAACTCGTTAAACAGCGCATCGGTGAGTGTCGTGGCGTCGTCGTGACGACTGAGCGGCGTCACTGTCGCGCAGTCCTTACCCACGTCCGGCGGCGCCCCCTGACACTGCCAACCTTCGTCGCCGAACCGATATATCTTCAGACGGCTGTCATGCGCAGACGGCTGCGACAAGAGAGCCTTGGGAACGTTCGGATCACGTGCGGTCTCTGGGAAAGTCGAAACAGGGTTGACACTCGCTGCTAACGGCACATCGCCGAAAGGTTTCGGAGATTCACACGGCTGAGGACGTGAGGTATATATTTGTAAGATCTCGTTATGTGCCAGACGTCGTTTTCGGCGCTCCTTTAGCTCAGTAAGCTCATGTGACACATCTCCCGAGGAACGTCGCTTTCGCGCAAACTTTGTTTTTCGCCAGCGATTGCCTGCGCTAGCAACAATTTGCTTTTTCCTAGCAACGACTGGATCCTTCCTAGCACGTACTTGCTTCTTCCAAGAAACGATTGGATTCTTCCTAGCAACAACTGGATTTCGTTTTGCTCTGACCCGCTTCTTTTTAGGAGTGCACGGGGATTGTTCAGTGACTGCTGAAGTGGAAGGACCTGATGCTACACCAGTCACGTTCTTCTGCCATTCTTCTGATAGACGTTCAAGTACAACAACCGGTTGGTTGGCAGACGGTTTTTTTGTGGGTCCACGACGCGGGTGTTTGATTGATGGTGTTACGCGCTTTACAGTTACAGCTTGTTGGCTGGCAAGGAGCTTTATTAGAGGCTCGAGTAGAACAGTCGGCTGATTGATCGTTAGCTTCAACAATGCAAGGTTCGAGGGCTTTTCCGCCTCAAGTTCTGTGTCTGCACACAGTGGCTCCACGATATCAATAGATCGACGACGCTTCGACGACGGTGAGGTATGTGAGGTAAATACTGTTGGTGTGGCACCCTTCACCACCTTGAAGCTACCGCTGGGCGTTCGCCTCACGTATTTCTTCTCAAAATGGGCGCTGCAGATCACCAAATATAATCTCTTTCCAGTCTCGAGATCGCTGAGCGCCTGCTTGTAGACGTACTTCTTTAGGATGGGCCAACGTTCGAATCGGTTTGAGTCGACGACGAACAATCCTATCTCTCGGCTACCGTCCGTGTGCAAGTGTTCCATACAGTTGACCACAGCACACCGCTTCTTCATAACAGTCACGAGACGTCACGAGTCCACATCCAACCTGACGTAAGACAAGTGAATCAATTAGCAACTAGTCAAGCAAAAAAGAACAGCAAATCTACTGGAATTGGCACCCGCAATTCTGCGAAACACGTATCATGGCTGTACGGCGAGACCTTAGCCTATGCCTGGTGATATGCTTCAATTCGATCTAGACTCTATTCTAAGCTAAGATTGGGTTATAATACCTCGACTTGTTTTATAATTAATAATAAGAATAATATTGACAGAGGTGATAATTTCACCTATTTTATGTCACCCACATGGCATAATACCAAGAGCTAATACCTAGAGGCTTGAGTGTACAACGGGAAAACGAGGAAATAGTGCTATTTTAATAATATTCTACTTTAACGGCAAGTCTAGAATAAGTGCATTGTATTGCATTAAGAAACATTCTTTCCTCTCTAAAATAAGACCAACCGCTTGTCTCTACGACACTCCTAGGCTGAGATATTTGATCGTAATCATGCTTCCTAGATGCCTCTATGCCGCCTGCTGGCCAAGAAGTTCCCCCACCAAACCGCGCTGTATGAGATTTGGCTTTTTGGCTATCGTTTTCCGTCACACCGCTTGGAGCGCTGATAATTGACGTCACACGCCCAAATTTGGTACTCTTACTACACCACAGTAACTGAGCAGCGTTGTAGAGAATTAATTTATAAAACATGGTCAGCGCAATCAGTACCTCATTAACCGTGCTAGGAAAGAAAGAGATAAAGGCCTAGGGCATAAATCATCACTGAGCCTTATACTCACTTCAGCTAACCGTTATCAGTAATTAACCTATGAAATGTGGAGATACTGGTGATATATCAGCTTGAACCCATCTATGAATTTTTAGTGTACGAGGCTTGGATCTAGCGATACCACGGTTTATATTTCAGTGTCAGCAGCAAGTACGATGATGTAACTTCTGATGTAATGGCTGTTAGGCACACCGTACATACTTTATACGCCATATTTTTCGCGTGTACAGATATTTTCGCGAATTCAGACTTAACGGACAATTTCGCAAGTGCCAAAGTGGTTCATTTCGCGGCCGGTGAATTATGAACTATTCGGTATTATTCACCATGAATTATTCGCATGTTGTTATTTTTGCAGTCGGGGACGTGTTCGCGAAAATTAAACCACCGCAAAATATACAGCTTATACAGTAGACTGTACCAGCGAAAAAAATACACGGGAGCGGCGAGCGATTTCGCTCCCGTCAGCTTTCAAAGCGCTCTGGTAACAACAATTACGAGAGCGAAAATTTTGGAAGATACGAGAAAAAATCGCTCCCGTGCCGCCGGCAGCGTTAGAAATTAGTTCCGACCCCGGAGGCCCAGCCCACCAAGTTTTTATTCGGGCATTAACAATAAGTTTTTATATCGCAGGGGTTAATTATCGTGGGGAGTGAGGGCACGACCAGTGACACCAGACATGCACGTAACCAAAGCTGCTAACTGAATTCGTCACTGATTTGTAGAAAGTGAACTATTTTTATTCAGTTAGATATCTAGAAGCAATGTAAACTGTATAAACTTAAAGATTCTAGGCACTTGTAACTTTGCGGATGTGCGGCAGCATTGATCTATGCATGGGGGTACCCTGGACTGCGGAGGAGAAAAACGAAAGTAAAACCTTACCCAGAAGCTCCCGGCATTCCTAGAGATTTCAGTACAAGTCTTTTTTAACATACTCAAAGTAACTAAAAACTCTCTCTGAAGTTCTGAACTTGCTCAGTCGATGTAAAAATAAAGTTGAAAGATGAAAAGAAATGAAGTAAAAAAAAGAAACTGGAAAATAACCATACTATCATTACCATGATTATAATTCTTGATTTCCTGTCTTTGTCATGTTACCTGACTATGTGTACTGTGTAGTGCATGTCTGTCTGTGTGAATGAAATTGAATAAGAATATGATTGGTTTCTTAGTCGAGTGAAATGAGATAAAAAAAATGTGATCGAATGTAATTTGTTGACGATTTCTTAACACTGATAGTCTCATACTGGTGAATGCTGATGAATGATATTAATTAGAGTCAGTGCATCAAAATTATGAAAATTTTAACAAAATCATGCTATGAAAAAGTAGCTCTGGCCAAGCCTAAAATAGCTCCCGTAAAAAAAATTACGAGAGCTCTTTTTTTCCTACAAAATCAAAAAAGAGCTCTCGTAAAAAAAAGAGTAATTTTTAGGCTGGACTGTACCGTGTATGTACTACACGCATTAACCTAGGCAGCAGCAGTGTGTTAGCCAGAGACCCATATATAGTCGTCTTTTGGACGGCCTACTCTTGGATGAGACGGATGAAATTTGATAGAGACGGCATGAGGGCGGCCCAATTTCATATATTATACAACTTGTATAACGGACAACAGTGCTTATAGTTATAGGAATATAAAATCATATCAGTTTCCTGTCTTTTTGGCATTTCAGTAAAACTCATTACAAAGTTACGACATTATAAAGTTGATCAAATTCAAATAGACAGAACAACACTGCGGATTGGAGTAGAAAATGTGCCGATTAGCTTATAATTAAATAGAGCTTCGATTATAATTAGAATTTGTATTTATAAGGGACTTACCTTACTTATAATACAATGTTGATAAAATTAATCAATCTGAAAACATTCCAGAAACGTTCCCAATTACAATAGACTAGGTCTTCAGGCACCGCAGGGGCTACGCGGATAGAGCTAACACCAAACGTAAACACAACAAGACCAAACCAATGAGTTTCGGCCCCCTGTCCTTGTTTACCCAGTCTCCAGTCACAAAGCTACTAATGATAACAGATTAACAGATAAGCGGTGACGCCCCTCGAAAGCCACCGATGATAACCAAAACGCCTTCCATTCGTAAACTCGTCTGTAAATATCCAGGGCTTGAAACTAACCTAAAATGTTCCCTAGCCAGCAGGGCTAGTGACCTGTAAAATCTACTAGCCCTTAAAAATATCTCCCAGCCCTTACTTTTCTGAAGTGCCGCGCTGAAGCTACGCAGTGAGCAAAATTTTGCCATTTGCGGGGAGGTGTGGGGGGGGGGGGGGGAGGGTGGATGTGGGTTTTGATTTTAGACGCTCCGAGATACATTCTGCCAAATTCCTTGACTTTGGCTAAAAATGTTAGATTCAGGCTTAGATTCAGTCTTAATAATATATATATACCACTATATATAACAAGGCTGCGTGCGACACTTCCGAAGCGGGTGGCCCGGTGTGCCCGGGGCCACCACAAACTTGATGTCCGGGCCGGGCAAACAGTCTAGTCCACCAAAAAAAATTTCCACAAGTTTAACAAAATTTTTTGGTGCCCAGATCAGGCCACTGAAAATGTTCGTCAAAAGTGTCTATGTGATAAAAATAATTATGTTTCTCACCGTCCCTGCCTTGTATTCTGCATTCAAAAGGAGAGCGAGCACTTCGCGGGAGCGACCGGTTGCAACACGTAGACGCACGTGCAGCATTCTACTCTAACCGTCGACGGGCATACACGGGCGCACAGGATTTTTGATTCCGTTCCTCAACTTATGCGGGCTGCAACCAAGCCACTGTTTGGTTAGACTGGTATCCGGCCTCACGCTCTGCTAGACAATTGCTTACAGCCGGCTCGTGCAAACGAACAGTCGGTCCGCCCGAACGCCGACAGTCCAGCCCAGAGGTCATCAAAATCTGAGCGGGCGCATTATTTTGCTAAGCTGCCCGAGCAATACATTTGATACATTCGTATCAAGCGAGCGTCTACCAAACAATGCGTCTAGACAATGACGCCTGTCTGCAGTGTACGTGTTGGAGCGTAATATGGTACAACTGAACGCGAGCGATGCCACTGCCAGTTGTCGAAGGCAAACAATGTGTCATTACATAAAAAATGATGAAAGTGTTCTTCTCCTTTTTTCGTCTCGATGGTAGTTATTGTGTTCAAAAATTTTAAAAATGTACCGGGACACACTGCATGCCCCGGGAAGCGGTCGGTACGGGACGACCGGCGGGAACCACATGGGTCCGCAAAATACGGGACATCTGGTCACCGTCCTTCCTTCCCCTGATGTGCTAGCCATAGGCTGCATCCTGGTGCTCACCTGTTTCGGGATGCCCGACAGCGGAACTGCCAGGGTTCCGAAAGCGTTCGCGTAGACATACTGAATCTATCATGAAGACTGATTCAGTCATTTGTATCCGAAGCGTACACCTAGTTAGTGCTTTGTGAAGTTTATTTATATGCATTTTCGTCTGTCTCATTTAGCAGCAACGAAAATATTGAACTAGTCTTAGAGCAGGAGCTGGCTTTTTCCTTTTTAAATGCCATGCGTACCGCCAGGCTTACTTTTGTTTTATATAATTAGGCCTTCTAATCTCCATCTTATTAAAACTTGCAAATATTTTATTTTTTCAACGCATGTTTTCAAAGCCTGCCAAGAGCATTTTAACTTTCATCGAACGATAAATGTATAAATGTTTTATTTTAACATGAAAAGCAATGTGTTGTTTGTTTTTATTACAGTTAGCTTTGTTTTTATATATTTGCATGGCTCTGCTGACTTTGATCTTCTGAACAGTCTGACCTGATGCGATAGCATGTGCACGCGCGTGTTTAGATAAGATAATTGAGTGAAAGTAGAAAAATGGTATGCAAGATTCCTGGTGAAAATTTTGATGCCCGTTGGAATGGATAATTGCCAAATAGTATGCCTCAATCATCATATGTCAGTGTGTGCATTGTGTGGGGGTTTTGGTTTAACCAGCGACTTGTGCAAGTGCACAGAACGAGACGCGCAAATTTAGCAAAAATATACAATACAGAGTTGAAGAAGAAGAGATTTATAATGTTTTTTCTTTGTTTTTTTTTGCGGCTGCGCACCAGGATTTTCCCATGTTTCGGGCCCAGCCCACAAAAATTGAAAACATCAATGATTTTGGATGGGCCGCGATGGCGGCCGACTGAAAAAAAAGTTAAGTGTCGAGGCCTGTGATATATATAAATATAGTATAATATATATATATGACTATATTATAAATATATAGTATATTATAGTATAAATATATATACTAAATAATATATAATATATTATATAATACTATTAATCAAAAGAGCTAATAAATACCTAGTGCTACACGGAAAATCAAGTGCCTATTTTACGGCAATATTATTCTACTTTGTATGCGGTTCTAGACTAAGTTCATGGTATTGCGTTAAGCAGCATTCTTTGCTCTCTAAAATCAGACCAACCGCTTGTCTCTACGATACTCCTAGGCCGAGATATTGGCCTCCCACAGGCCTCAGTAGAATAATATTGCCGTGAAATAGTACTATTTTCACGTTTTTCCGTTGTACACTCTAGGTGTTTATTAGCTCTTGATATATATACATATATATACATCAGTATTATTTATAAGAGCAGAATAATTCCTTATAGTAACGATTAGAACTATTAGTCAGTCTACGGAAATATGAAAGTTCATGTTTAATTTGAACCGTTTAATTTGTGACTATCTCTACTACTCTAGTAATTCTCTACTACAAGTACAGAGTTTCTTAGTAATAGTAGTTATAGTACAAGTACAGTATAGAGTTATAAGTTGAGTTATCCTGTTTGTGTTAGTTTGAGATTTGTAGAGTTGTATTGGTTAGTTGACTGAATATAAGCCACATAGAAGCGTGTTATGCTAGTGTTAGGATGCATCCTAAGTTCATGAACATCGTATTATAAAACGGTTAGAATACCAGTTACAAGAATGTAGGTTTAAAGAATGTTAGTTATTGTTACAGCTGGCCACATTAGCACATTTGTATATGCCACACATTGCGAAAACGAATTGTGGTCAGTGCTTAGGCCTAAATATCCATGAACCGGGTGGCCTGTAGGAGGCATGAATGATTACGATCCAATAATATCTCAGCCTAGGGGTGTTCTAAAGACAAGCGGTTGGTCTTATTTTAGAAAGGAAGGAATGCTTCTTAATGCATGCAATATACCATATGAGCATACGACTATGAGCAATATATGTATATAATATATTGAAGCATGAACTTATTCTAGAAATGTTGTTAAAGAAGAATGATATTAGTATTATCGTAAAATAGCACTATTTCCCCGTTTTCCCGTTGTACAATCTAGGTATTAACTATTGAATAACGTACCTCTTGATACTAAACCAATAAATTGTGCCATACTCCCATAGTAATTTATAAAATCTGACGCTATTGTATGCACTTGAACACTTCTATGCTGCTACGCACAGAACGGTGCAAAATTATAAAAACTTCTTGGCCTAGAGCACAATCAGTGTTTGCGATTGTATAATTATTTGTGATGTCTGGTGTCTATTAGTGTGCGTTTTCGTGCTGTTTTCCCTGCTCACCAATTGTAAGACGTGGATAGTCGAGTCCGTACATAGGGGCAGCCATGTTGGGTGGGTTAGCCACCCCCTCTAGCGGCGGAGAGTGGCGCGGGAGGATATAGATCTACGCAAAGTTCATCAAGTATCTATACATACGAATAAATAATACATACAAGAGCGTATACAGCATACTAATACTAATACAGCTACTTGATACATATACATACACCACTAATACGTCCAATTTAGCATTTAGCATGCATTACGTCCAATTTAAAAATGCAAATTTTGCAGAACATCGTTTCATGTGACCATGTGTTCATGTGATTATTAGAAGATAATGGTGGTGATCCGGTACACTGCACATAGAGCTATAATTATCCGATGAAGCATCCGCCTTTATATCCACCCCGTCTTTAACGTAATTATGGTTCATGTACATACAACGTGCATCGTGCACGTTCAAGCTCTTCACAAAGTTTCGTGTACACAAGGAGGTGCGTGCGTGCGTACGTTGCGTGTGTGCAGGTGTAATTGACACCGTGGCGTGATTGACGGCCATATATCAAACACTGTTCGTCAGGGTAGCACGCGACTCTCAGTCTGCTCGTTCCTGTCATACAGATTTAATTAAGATCGAGTCACTGACCTTGAATTGAGTTTGCACTGGTCTTGCATTAACCTTGCATTGACCTTGCTTTGAGCTTGCTTTGACCTTGCATTGACCTGGCAGTGAGCTTGCATTAGCCTTGCACTGATATTGAATTGAGCTTGCATTGACCGTGTATTGACCTTGCATTAACCTTGCATTGACCTTGCATTGACCTTGCATTGACCTTGCATTAACCTTGCATTGAGCTTGCATTGAGCTTGCATTGACCTTGCATTGAGTTTGCATTGAGCTTGCATTGACCTTGCATTAACATTGCATTGAGCTTGCATTGACGTTGCATTTACCTGGCATTGACCTTGCATTGACTTTGCATTGACCTTGCATTAACCTTTCATTGACCTTTCATTGACCTTGCATTGAACTTGTATTAACCTTGCATTAACCCCTTGTATGGAGCTTGCATTAAACTTACGATATAAATACATGGAAAGCTGGAATCTAGCTGTTCGCAGTCATCGAGCAAGGATGGAAAGTCTACGCGGAAAGAGCGATGGAGAAGCCTGGGATCACCCGTGATTTACCGAGCCTGGGGTTTCAACGCGTATGGCGTATATGCACGTGTTGCGATAGCGAATTTACGCGAATGAATCCAGTGATCCTCTCGTTTCTTTTGTTACTGAATAATCATGGTGCAGTGAGAGTTGAGGGGATCGCAACATTACCGACGCCTCAAAGCCTGCTATCCGAGTGTTTGTGGGAATCCATCTAACTATATGATTAACAGGTTAGATATATCATTAACGGGTTGGTCTGATTAATTATAGCGTCAAACGGCAAGTGCGTATTGTTAGTGAAGTCCGCTAAGTTTGTGGGACGCTTATCCTGCATTTTAGAAAATTGTATTTATAGAAAATCAAATGTCACC